GGAGTTGAAGTCCACAGATCGTAAAGTGGCCAAGGTTGAGAAACACTGGCACAGAGGTTATGCTCATAGGGCTACTGTGCTGGGATTTACTAAATTCACCCGAGTGTCTGCATTCATAGAACACACTGAGCCACAATAAACTAACTACAAGGGTTAGCTAGCTATTGCTTAAGTGGGCTGCGTGTACACATCCAGCCTGAAGTGAAGGCCAGCCAGAGAATTCAGGATCACTTTGCCGGGGATAATGTGGAAAAATCAGACGTAGCAAAGAAGATGCTTGTTCTGCTTTGCAGCCTAACCAATCTCAACTTTGCATGGCCTGAGCGTCCACCCCAGCTAGCGTTTCTCTGTTCTAGAATGGTATTCAATCTTATTTATTTAATATTAGATTTCTCTCCTGTTTTTATTTTGTACAACTCAGAGCGGGCTGCATAACGCTCCTATTCTCCTCACCACAACAACCCTGGGAGACGGGCTGGGCTGAGAGACAGGGACCGGCCCAAAGTCACCCAGCCAGCTTTCAGGCCTAAGGCCCAGCTAGAACTTATGGTATCCCAGTTGCTAGTCCAGCACCTTCACCGCTACCCAGACTCCATCTCCAACCTTTTACAGATTATTTTTCGACAGCTTGAATAGCATCCCACACCTTTTGGAATAGCACAGGTAGAGACATTCCCTCAAAGATCCCCAAAGGCAGGAGTATTTACTTGTAATCAAAGTAGTAGCATTTGAGCTGGGCCATATATCTTTCAAAAGATGGGATGTCTTTCTTCAAGATGCTCCACTGGGCTCCGATTTCTAAAATGTCTCCTTGAAAGGGAAGGTGAGAACAGGCAGAGCATGAAACGACAACAACAACCAAGGACAGCACAAAACCACTGGCCCGGCTGTTTGTCTTCAGCTGGTAAACTGCCCTCCAGTCAATGCAGAGCAAACAACAAGGGTAGGAGAGTAAATGACAGGCTCTCGGCCTTTTATAAGTCATAAGCTATGACTTACTGCATTCCAGGCCCCACCCTTGCAGCACGGAACTATAACAAGAGTGACCCGTCCCTCCGTGCTGTTAAGATAATGCACATTAGGCGTTCTGAGCCCTACATGAAAATTCAATCAAGACCCAATCTGTGGCTCTTGATGCATCAACATTGCTGAAATTTAGCAGGCCGGCATGTAGGGAGCTCCTGGCTGGGCAGTACCCAGGTGCCCTTTTGTAAGTGACCTTAACAAATAGGATTTAAATACAGTGAAAACGTTTAACCAGCATATACAGTAGTTAAGGGAAAAGGCTTTCTGACTTGGAGAGACAGAAAGCCTTTGTTGCATGCTCAGATTAGAAGAAAGAGGTCAAGGTCTAGGGCAAGGGAAGCTACAGATTTGCTTCTGAAGCCTCTTTCAAATTTAGAAGGGATCTGATCAGTCTTGGCTAAGCCATGTGCATGCCTGAATAGTACTCACTTGCCAAAATAAGCTGCTGTTTAGTCAGTTTTGTGCCTGTGGTGGGCAGAAAGTTAAGTTCAAGCAGAGCCAACTGAAACACAAGAGGAAAGGAGGAGAAATTACAGACAAGCCACACTACAGATAATCAAGTTTACCACACTGTATTACAATCTACTCTAATACAGAAAACAGCATCAATACAATACAGTGGTACCTCGGGATACGAACTTAATCCGTTCCGTGACTCTGGGCGTATCCCG